AGGCTGGCGGTTCAAACCCACCAGCCACTCCTCGGAAGGAAGGTTGGGCAATCTACTTCCATAGTGATACTGCCTCAGAAATCCAAGGAGGGGTCGCTCTGAGTCGGGTCCGACTTGACGGCACATAACAACAACAACTGGTGCTGAAATGTTTTAATATGATTTGGAACTATAAATTCAAAGTCTATGTCTGAAAATTTAACATGCAAAGAAAAATATTCAAGTTAGTAGTCAACATGAAAATAATGTTCATTTACCTCTTTGATATCATGCAAAATTCATATTAGTCAATCAAATTAATTATGTAGAAATTCTGAACCATAAAAAGCCCTGTCTTACTTAAAAAAAAAAAAAAAAAAGCTGCCTAATTTTCTCCTGCTTTGCTTGTCAATATTATTGTCTAATCTGATTTCATACTTTATCAAATAGCATCTGGCTGTTTCAAATAAAATTACCAAATCTTTACCTAAAAATATAAAACCTCCACCTCTGTGGACATTCAGAAGAGTATGTCTTATAAATTCAGAAGGCAATCCAAAAAAGTTCCGTGGAATATTTCTAGCACTGGCATCATCACCAGAATTATGCCAACAGCCAGAACAAGGAGACTAGCTTAAAAGGTACAACGTTAATTCAGACACATACATGTTTTCCTGGAATTCCCACTTTATGTTTTTGTTTATTTCTTTCAGGTTTGAACTAGGAGGCAAAATGAAATAGTACTTAAGAATTCGAGATCGTAAGAAAAATACTCCAGAAGAACAAAAGCTTGTTTGCTGATTTATAAAATGGATATAATAGTAACACCAAACACAAATCAGATTAAAAATAATTGTGAAGATTAAATAAAATCATGTGTATAAAGCACTGACCATAATGCCTAGCATATGAGAGTTAAAAAAAAATAGCTTTTAGTACTTTATTTTAGAATCAGTATTAATATTTTAAGTCATCCTCTGTTCATCCTCTGTACAGGTCAGGATTTGCTAAAGTATACATTTACAATATTGCATGATAATATATACTTCATATACTATAAAAGTCATTCAACAAACCAGAAGATAAACTTGTTTTAAACTGTTTTCTTATTTTAAACTCTACATTATAGCATAATCATTTATTAAGTGAATAAATTTCAACAACTAAATTAACCTCTTCAGTAACTCTAGGATTCTAAGTAGCAACTTCTCAGGATTATTATAAAGATATAAGAAGATACTGTGACCCAAAGTACCTAGTTAGTATCACTTACTGTTAGAGTAACATTCAAAACCAGCTGTAGAAAACACTCAACACAAGCCATATACTAGGTCATAACTACTTACAATATATGTAACATAGTATTGTTGTTGTTGTT